AGGATCTTGTGCCTGCCGCCTCGGTGGGCCGGACGGTAGAAAGGAAGCTCTGGAACAATAAACTGCCAAGTTGCCAGGCTACAGTTGCGCAGGCTATCTCTCATTTCCGCTTTTCACTTTCTTACTTTTATTCCTTTTTTTCTAAACTTCTTCCCTCTCTTTTCTTTATCTATTTTTTTTTTACTTCTATTTCTTCCTTTGTTCTTCATTTCTTTATCACGCATTCTTCCTTTCCTTATTTCTTCATCTTTTTTCTGCTTTCTGTTTTTCTATTTCGTTCTGTCTTTTTTTATTACTTTCCTTCTTCGTTCCCTTTCTCTTTTACTATTTACCATCTTTCGTCATTTCAATCTTATTTTTTCCTTCCTTCATTTTCTTTCTTTTTTTCTCATTCTGATTTCCTTTTTTTCTTCCTTTTTATCCTTTCTTCTTCACTTTATTTCATTCTCTCCTCTGTCCTTTTATCCGTTTTCCTTCCTCCTCTTTGTACCTTCACATTTTCTTTTTGTTTTTCTTTCTTTATTTTTTTTCATTTTTCCTATCGCTTTTCTTCTTCCTTGATTTGCTCCCCTTACTAGGACTTAATTTATTCTTTCTTTCTTTCTTTCTTTCTCATTCAGATTTCCTTTTTTTCTTCCTTTTTATCCTTTCTTCTTCACTTTATTTCATTCTCTCCTCTGTCCTTTTTTTATTTTTCCTTTCTCCCTTTTGTACCTTTACCTTTTCTTTTTGTTTTTCTTTCCATCTTTTTTCCATTATTCCTATCGATCCTTCCTTCTTCCTTAATTTGTTCCCCTTCCTAGGACTTAATTTATTCTTTCTTCCTTTCTTTCTTTCTTTTTCATTCAGATTCCCTTTTTTTTTCATTTTTATCCTTTCTTCTTCACTTTATTTTATTCTCTCCTCTGTCCTTTTTTCCTTTTTCCTTCCTCCCCTTTGTAGCTTTACCTTTTCTTTTTGTTTTTCTTTCTTTCTTTCTTTCTTTCTTTCTTTCTTTCTTTCTTTCTTTCTTTCTTTCTTTCTTTCTTTCTTAATCCTTTTCTTCCGTCTTTTATTACTTTTGCTTGTCACATTCATTGCTTGTGTGATATTGCCCACACACTGAATGGGCTCTGTTTAAGCCTAACCTCGTCCGAAAGGGCTTCTTAATTCGTTGACCTCATTCCAAAGATGTCCAAATCGGTGATGCCGAGACAAGAGATGATCAACTGACCGATCTGGGCTACAGTAGCCTTGGCGACGGGCAGCCAGACAGTTAGCCTGGCCGGACAGGCGTGGCGCAAAGTAGTGAGCCAGTACTTGCCAAGTCGACGGACGACCGTCTTCGCGGACTGTGGCAGGCTCGGCTTTCTCGTGGTCTTGTCCCGTCGTCAACAGGTCACGAGATTGATTGCCTGCCTCACTTTCACGTCACACCAGCCCAAGTTGGACCGGCCTGAGAGCCATTGGCACCCGCCTGTACCGACTGTGCCGCCTGCACCGCCTGCACCGACTGTACCGACTGTACCGACTGTACCGACTGTGCTGCCCGGCCCGTCAACTGTTTCTGTCGACAAGACCCATCTCGGCTCAATTCACCGGCGCGCGGTTGACACCCGATCTCCATTTCAGACAGCCCGACACGCATGTGTGCCCACAGCCGACCGACCGACCGACCGACCGACTCCACCTCGCAAACACACACGTACGCGATTGCACTGGCCGGCCGAAACGAAGGCCAGTGATACCGAAGAATGGCCGATTTGGGCTGTACCGCCGGCTCGGCGAGCATGCCCCCAGGTTTGTGTGAGGACAAGTGGGGTTTTGAAAGAATGCCTTCTAAAATCACCTTTTCGTGCATTTCATTTCGCATCGAGACGCTAAATGAAGGAAGCGAGTTGTGGAACTGCACATGCCATCGGCAACTACGCCACCGGGGAGGGAGTAAAACCTCGCGGTGATGCAGGATGGAGCTGATAAGTCGGTGTCATGATGCCGTTGAGTTTCACGTTTAACTCCACAACCCCAAAGACTATATCTCGTCTCAGTTGGACTGGACGAAACGGCAGTTTTGATCTCGCCCGAACTCGTCTAATCTGCACATTCAACCAGTTTAGAGCCTGCGATGTATGCTTTCTGGCGAGGCCACTATTCATTCTATTAACCACGAATTACATTTTTTCTAATAGTCTTTGTCTCGATTAAGCCATTGCCCTGATGGTGCTACTTATTTTCGATGTAAGTAGCTTTGGCGACTAACGGTTATTCTGGAATCAAAACCTAATCACCCTGGCTTGCATAAGATGATTTAAGGACAAAGGGTGGACAAGTTCTCATTCGAGCATTACCTTGTACAGACTCACGAATATGCTGGCAAACTCACTGGAAATGTACCAAGTCCATGGTCCGACGCTGATAAATGCCATTAATATTGTGGCAAGTGATGCGGAACTGGGTGTGCTCTTCGAGTTCCCGTCCAAAATATGACTAACTTTCCTATTCAC